AAGCGGGGGGTGCCGCAGCCTGGGGAGCGGGGGGATAGAGCGCCCCGGTGTGCGTGTGTTGCTGCCGGGGGGTCAGCGCTGTTCGCTGTCTAACGCTGCGGGTAGTGTAACGCTCCACAGGTGGAAGCAGGGAGGGGGAGAGGATCACTTAAAAACCCTTTAAATAATGCATGGCTATTTAATGCGATCATTTCATGCGCATAGTAAGCAGTACTTGTGTAACTGCCTCATTAGCACAGTTCTGTTCCCTTGATCAATATGGATTGTGGCTGAGGCACATTTTCCAGAGTGGTGTCTCTCTTTTAAGATCACTACTATTGCTCTCTGAGCTCTACTAAATCCCAGAACCTTATTTCCTGTCTCTTTTTTTTTCTTTTTCCTTTATTTTATTTTTTTTTTAATATCCATTTACAGCTGAAGTGGACTTTGAAACCTTTGAAACTGGTTGCTTACTTTGCCGATATGAGTTTGTCATACTACTTTCACTTCCTAACTTTCCTGATGATCTGAGAGAACTTAAGTATATCCCAGAATCTGTGGGGATTCATGGAGCAGGGCAGAGATCTTACAGAGGAGGAGAAGAGTAGCTAGTGGTGAGTCAAGGTAATACTGTTACTGAGCAAAAGCAATTATTTTTCTTAAAGGGAGTTCTGGTGGTGTTCCAAAGTGAGGATCTCCTGTTCCACCTTGGCGGTGTGGATAGTTGGTGGACCTAGACAGACTGTAGTGACTGAAACACTAACCTCTCACCATTCGTAAAGCATTCTGAGCATCCTGAGGAAACAGGCATGTATCTATTAAGCAGTTTGTCCAAGATCAAAATGGGAGTCCTTGGCTGTCTAGTAGTTACTGGTCTTTTCTGTATTGAGTGAAATTCAAGAGGCACTGAATTTCACAAACACTGTGAAAACACTGGTGACATGTAAAGAAGTAAGTAAGGGCATGGCTACAAGTGTGTCTGGTGTTATTGGTTAAACAGTGGGTTTAGGAATATAGTTTTTATGTTTCCTAAACAGTGGTTTGGGAATACGGATTAGGCAGGAGTACAGTTCCCCAAAATGCTGAAATCCAACCATGAAATGTGATACCTAAATGCTTTCGGTCCTTGTCAGAATTGAGGTTAAAGGCTGTGGTGTAACTCAGACTTCTGGTTTACCTCCTATGCCTTACTGTCCCATGCTGTAGTTCTTGACTAGCCTGCTTTATTTCAGAGGCTGACCAAGCAGGAATTCTGGCAGCTGGTGCACCAGAGCTATGGCTCTGAGCTGGGCCTGAACAGCGAGGAGATGGAGAGCTTCCACTCATCGTCTGAGGACAACGGGCAGTCTCGGTAAGGAGAGGCTATAAAGCTTATTGATGTACCCTGGGAAAAGCAGTGTCCTGTTTCTTACAAAGTCTGTTTCCAAAGTGTTGCTGCAGCCTTACTGGAAAGGTTAAGCCTATAGTAAAAGGTTGCAAAGAACCGAACCGCATAAACCAACCATCCATAAAAGCTTAATTGTGTTCGTTGTCTAAAATAGCAGGAGCACAGCTGAGGCCCTTAGAGGAAAGAGATTTGAAGACCTTGTTGTCCCTGGAACTGCTTGGGGATACCAGTATAGCTTAAATACCAACCTTTTCTCATGATGGTACCTAGGCAGGATCTGCCTGCCCTTCAACAATATGGATGGGCTGGATGGAGTGGAGCTACACATGATGTTCAGACACTTTCCTCTCCCTTGTAGAGACTGAAACACTGGTTTTGCTTTGTTCTCCTTTTTATGTTGTCCTCATCTTGAATTAAGAAGCTGGAATAATATAACTGCAGGGGGATGATTTATTTATTTATTTGTTTTAAACAGCTACCTTAATTATTTTTTTTAACAAATGTGGACTAATTTATGAACTGCCAGTGTCAATCAGCAATGGGACTTTAATTTTTGTATCTGTATGTATATATGTCTCTACAAAATCAAACAATGTAATTTTTGTTTCTTTTCAACTTTATCTTATCTGAGTATGTTTGTCAGAAAATAAAAAAAATGAATTTTAAGTTCATTACAAGCTTCCAAATATGTCCCACTAAGTATTTCTGTGTAGGGTTTTGTTTCAGGGTTTATTGTTGGTTTGTTTTTTGGGGTTTTTTTTTTTTTTTTGGTGGTTCTACCCCCACCCCCTCCCCGTAATAAAAATGTACCACTTTGCAACTCTGGAATTAGGGATGCAGGGGAAAAAAAAAGTCTTCTTAAACTTTCTTAAAATCTTTTATTTCCAAATTTTTTCTTAGCTATCTCCATTTCCTCTTCTACAGCATGCTGCACTCTCTGTGATTCACCTGTGCTTGGTTTTGCTAGCTTGTGGTCAGAAGCTAAATCCTCTGAGAGGAGGAAAATGGCTTGCGAGATTAATGAGCTGGATGTGGGAAGAATGAGTTGGTAGATTTTGAAGTTATCTGAACAGCCATGGTTTGAATACACAAATCACACATGAGAAGCTTTCTCAGATTTCTCAGCACTTGTATCTCCAGTGATAACTTCCTTCTTGCTTTGGACAGATCCAGCATTTGTGAAGATTCTGGAGAAAGGGATGAAAAACTGCCTAAAATGATTGGTTTGGTTCGGGAACCCGCACTTCAACCGGAAGGAGAGTCACTTAATAGACACGCGTTGCCAGGAGTAAGTCCTGACACAGCCTTTCTTGCTATTTGTAACTGATAAGCATATATGCTTGTATATGCTTATGAATATGTAAGTATAGGATGCACGAGCATTTTTAACTTCTAAAGAAGCCTTGGGAATTCATAATGATCTAGGAGGTTTTCACATCAGAAAATATTGATATCTGCAGGTTTCATGAATATTTATTGAATTTGGAAATTACCAAAGTTCATAAGAGAATACTGCTTGTGTGAGTTTCAGCAATGTCTTATCACTAATTCACTGCATAACCTGGCTGGAATTCTGAGGCTTAAGCCCTGTTTTGTGGGGGTGTGTGTTTGTTTTTATTATTATTATTTAAAAAACAAACAAAACTAACTTTGTTTTTATCCACCTTTCTAGGGACCATTTTTAGCCAAGTGCTTTATGAAAGTAATACTTTTTAAACTAATAGCACAAGCAAGAAAGCACTGTAAATGAACAAAAGCATCTCCTCTAATACTTCTGTCCTTCCTATACATGAGGTTTATTAGAGGGTACTTACGCTGTGTTATCCTTGCCTTCAAAGGTCAGTTAGTCTGCTGTTAGAAATATATGAAACCATTTTTTTTTTAATTATAATTTCTGGAAATATTTCAAGAAGGAAGGGGAACACACCCCACACCACACCCCCCCTGCATTTCATATAATGTAGATGAGTTTTTCCCTTAATGCCTTGGGTTAATACAACTGAACCAGCATTAATGCTTCACTCATAGTATTATATGATTTTGTGAATGTATTTGTCTTTTTGGGAGGGTGAGTGCAGTGGTAGCACTATCTGAGGTGTGCACAGTGCTCAGCACAGTTGCTGGGTCCCATGTGCAGCTGTAGTCCTGAAAGGTTGTAAACGTTTTCTCTTGATTAACAAATACCCCAAGGGACAGATCTTGGAAAAGCAAATAAAGCAGTAAAGCATTTCTTATAAACTTCAATAGGGTTGGGCACCTAACTGCTGTTTCTGCTTTGGAAAATGTGGAGAGGGAAGAAAGGAGATGAATGCAGCAGTTTTTACTGCCATGTAAATATTCTGGCTTTTGTCACTTGCTAAAACTGATCTGGAGGTTAAATGGGCTTTAAATAGTTCTGCCAAAAATCCAAGTTAATGGCTAAAGACTTGTACCCAGCAAACAAGACTGGTACTTGTCAGATGTTAAAAGCTTAGTTAATTGGGTGGTGGGTGTCCCTCATTCAAGAAACAAGATTTTTGGAGACATGTAAGGGAGGCCTGGGAGGTGCGTGGATGCTGCTGGAGTTTGGTCTTTTTAGGATAACTAGAAATCTGCCCAGGTAGCAGATTGGTTTGGACTTGTAAGTCCTACTTGCACAAGAACAAGCCATTTAAAACTAATTGCTCTGCCTGGAAAAGTGTTTAGTTTACCTATGGGGTGCCACACCCAGAGATGTCTCTTGCAGATGCTAAATCTAATTGGGCATGTTGGTAAGCAAGAATGCCTGGGGATTTGGTCTGTATGCAAGGAAAAACGTTAGGATTCTCCCATGTATAAACTGCTTTTAAAAAGTCTTTTAATTAGAGTGTAAAAGTGCAATCTTGATAAATGTGTAACTAAACTGTTTAGTTTACTGTTTCAGTGTAACTAAAATACCTAACGAATGTGTTCAGCTATATGTGTCATTTGGTATTTCTCAAGAATGTCAACACTCTCCCCACAGCCCCAGGATTACAGCATATTTTGTAGAAGCACAGGGGCAATAGGAGGAGGTGGTAGTGTTCTAGAATATATCTGTCGAAACCATTCCACTGATGATACAAAGCACTGTTAATCACCTTCCAAAGAGTGGAGGAAAACATGCTTAACCTCTCCTTTACTGCTCTGATAGACAAAGTGAGTCCCAGAGCTCTCTTCAGAGGAAGATGTGAACTGATGAAGGGGTTGGCTATAGTACTTGGCCTGTCTTGGAAAAAATGTTGGCAACAGCTGTCCATAGCTGATTAAAAGAAAAACTGTGTGTAACACCAGTCATGGCTCATCTGTTTCTATGAGTGCAGTTCATCATAATGTGGAAACCACCTTCTCATCTGTATTTTCAACCATCTTCTTCTCTCCGTTCCTTGTAGGGAGGTCGTACAGTCCCAGAGCCTGCTGTTCCCAGGTTAAAAACCAGAAAAGCCGTGTCACAGAGATTAGCAGCATGGGACTAGCTCAGGAGATAACGTACCTAAAGAAGAAATTGTACATCTTCAACTCCACCTGACAAATCTGAAGATCATTTCTCTTTAGTGTAAAAAAAAAACTAACCCCCACCCCAATCTCCCTGCAAAAAAAAAGTAACCTCAAACCCCAAGAAAACTGGTTTGAGTTGATCAGTTGTTCCAAAAGCCTCAGCATGAATCTCCTCTTTCCTGATGTCATGAAGGGCTTTTTTGTAGGAGCTGTTACCCTTGTCATGACATGAGCCTGAGTTTCCTGTTCTGCTCATGGCATAGTAGGCTGCTGTTATGCTGCTGGTGGGAGGTCCACTTGTTCACCAGATCCCTAATCACCATCAGAATGCAATGAGAACTACTTGGATTTGAGCTGGATCTGTGTGTCAATTTTTAGCCTGTTTTGTCACAGCTAGCTCCTTTCTGACTTCTGTCTGTATTGGCAGAGTATTTTGACATAGAAATGTTGTTTCTGTCCTAGTTCCTGTTGTGTGACTGAGTATAATTTCAGGCATGGTAGCTCCTTTCAACAGGAGCATTTCTTAACTGATCTGCTTTTCTGATGCAGTTTTTTGACCTTGAGAGAGTATTTCTGTCTGCTTATGCTGCAGTTAAATTCATGCCTGTCTCTTTCCCAGCCACCCACCTTCTGCTGATGTTCCTCAGTTGCACAAAAAAGTAGATGGTCTTTATTGAAGAAAGCCAAGTACAGGAAGTACATGATGACTTTTCAAGTAACGGATGCTCTTGCTTTTTTGAGTCAGTGCTGAATAATCTGCAGGGATGATGGTTTTGCAGATGAATTGGAATTATTCAGTAAGGAGGCCTGATCTTATTTATGGTCTGTGTACTACTGCATATAGAGGCTGTAATACCGCTGATTCCAGCTGTTCCATTGGAGGCAATGGGAGCTTTGAGGAGGGGTTTAGAATGAAAACTGTGATTTGATGCTCATAGCCAAGCTTTTTGGGTGGCATTTGGAGATCTACAAACATCGTGCATACAGTTCCACTAGAAATCACTTCTCGAAGTGTGCAATGGCCTGTAAGGTTAGCCACCAGTTCTTACAGTTTAGGGTTAAGAGCTGCATCATTGATTCAGTGACTGATGCTTTGGAGGACTTCCTGCTTATTGGAGATGGCAAATGATACTCCGTTGCTTTGTTTCTGAGAAGTAACATTTTATAGCTAGGATGGCTCTAGACAGTGTCTTAGACTTTTTTTTCAAAGAGTAAAGAAGCCGTACAAAATAAGAATACCTTTCAAATGTGTAATTGACAATTTCAAATATCTAACTGCTGATAAAAGGGAGGCCCTGCCTATTTCATTGTGCTTCCCCTGAAGATTATTGGACCCCTTGCTAAACTGTCAGGAAAAAACTAACCTGATCAATAAAAAGTAAAAGAAAAAAATCTATGTTAGTTAAAGGAATATCTAAATGCTAGCATTGATGCAGGGAAGGAAACCAAACTGCAGGTGGGTGTAAGGGGACTAGATGGGGAATAAACTGTCCCTTTTAAGGCAGCTTTTGGTATAACAGTATAGATAAATAACTGGTTCTTGTTACCAGAGTAAAGTGAAAACTTGAAATAGAGGAAGGGAGATAGGCTGGGGCAGTAGAACAAGGGAGAACTTACTGTTTGACTGTGCGGTAGTTGAGCGGACAGAACTTGTGGCTGCCTTTACATGGCTTTCTTCTTTGATAGTAACTTTTTTTTTTTTAATGGCTTCTGATTACAAATGTTTGTTTTGTGTTTTTTTTCTTCTTGGTTGTTTCAGGTGGAGGAGTCCCCAAGTGAGAAGCAGGTAAAGAAGAGCCCTCTTCCATCTTCAGAAAGAAAACCTGTTAAGCTGGTCAGGAGCAGGTCTTTAGAAAAGTCCTTGGATCTGAATGAGAATGAAAATCTTCCAGAGAAAAGCAGTGCCTCGGACAGTGAAGAAGGTAAATCTCTTGGCAACTGGGATCTGTAGAACAACCTGACTGGTGTTCCATCTTGCTTTTGGAGCAAGTTAGAGAACTTTCTGCTTATTTGTTTCACAGAACTGTAGCAAAAACATCTTTGTATCTTAGTTTCTGGGGAGGAAAAAAAGTTGTTGGTGTTTAGAATGAAAACAAATTGTGGTTTTGCTTTTTCTCCTTTGGCGGGTAGAAAGTTGCTAACAGCTTGAAAAGAAGAGTTTTTTGACAATTTGCTCGCTTTTCATGCTCTCACAGGTACATCAAATATTTTTCTTTCTTCTGTTTTCAGTTCTTGGGAACTGATAAGAAACACTTTGGACCATTCTCCAGTTTTTGAAAGATTTCCCCACCCCCACTTCTTTACACTTCTATTAAGGCATATGGGCTTCAGTGTTATCTGTGGGGTAAACTGAGGAACCCACTGAAAATCCAGGCAAGACAAGTTCCCAGACTTCAGGAGTATATTATGCATATTTTTAATCTGGTCTGAAGGTGGAAAAAACTCTAGTGGTAGGACAAGGAGTAATGGGTTTAAACTTAAACAGGGGAACTTTAGGTTAGATATAAGGAAGAAGTTCTTCACAGTGAGGGTGGTGAGGCACTGGAATAGGTTGCCCAAGGAAGTTGTGAATGCTCCAACCCTGGAGGTGTTCAAGGCCAGGCTGGACAGAGCCTTGGGTGACATAGTTTAGTGTGTGGTGTCCCTGCTCATGGCAGGGGAGTTGGAACTAGATGATCTTAAGGTCCTTTCAAACCCTAACTATTCTATGATTCTATGTATCTTGGAGCAGATTATACTTTGTGTTCCAGCACAGTTAGTACCTGAATGGATTCTTACACATCATTACCCAGTAGAAGATGAGGAGAAACTTAGATACCACAGTAGTGTAGCTATTGTAACCTGGCTGTTCTTTTGCTTCCTTTCTCCTTCTCACCATAGGAGAGAAAAGCATAGCTCTGTGTCTCATAATGGTTTTGGTATAAGTACTTTTGCTACCTTCTGGGGAAGAGAGTAAGGTCAAACTGTGTCTTCAACCTAGGCTGGATGACAGGGAGACATGTGCTGTGGTCTGTGGGTGCTTGTTCTGTAGTCTGCTGACAACTTCTTGCTTTAAATTGTTTCACTTATCTTGGGGAACTTGTGTGCGAAAGGGTCATAGTTCAAACAGTTCACTAAATTGTGGTGGATGTTCTGTTAAATGTCCCAGTCTTGATAATCTGTAAATGCCTTTAAAATGAGGTGTGCACCACCTGCATTGATTCCGAAGTTGTATGGTAGTGTGCAAATGACAGACAGGAAAGCTCAACAGTAGCAGCGTGCTCAGTGGCAGCTGAACATTTCTTTCATATGGGAAGAGATGACTTAACTTGCTTTCATCGCTTCTTGGCAAGAATAGAGGAGTTCAGTTAATTGAGGCCAGTTCTTAATCTGGCTGAGAAACTTTGCATCTCACCCTCTCAGCGTTAGCAACTGGAGTTGCTTGCAGGTGTCATTTATGTTGGAAACATCAAGTGTCCAGGAAGGCTTTCAAAGTCATGGATTGAATTGGCTGCCTGCAAGTTGTGGTTGTTGGCTGAAGATACACTTTATATTCGATTAACTTTCCTTTTGTTCAGCCCTGCTGCTTCTGTGCTTGCTTGTGGGTATCTTGCAGTTTTCCTGTTCTTAGTCTTTCCACATCTCTCTTCTGTCTCTGGATTTTATTTTATGACAAAGGTCTCCAGTGAAACTGATGCAAAATAGTCCTGTTGTCTTCCATGCTGCTTTTTGCCTAAAAGCTAGCAGTAAATACTCCCCCTCATCTCTGCATTGCTGATGTTGAGTAAATAGAGCATATTAAACTGGAGTTGTCTCTTTAAAAAAAAAAAAAAAAAAGAGAATAACTTTATGCTGCTTTAATTTCTTTCCCCCTCCCCCAAGACTAGTCTTTATATTCAGAGCAGGATTTTCTAGTCCCACAACATTAATCTTTTCTTTCAGATTCCCTTCTTCATGCTTAGAATTTTTTTCTTGTTTCTCTGTCTGTTTTCTATTGCAGTTGTCTCATACTCTTACAAGGTGAATTCCTTCATGCAAATGAAACTAGCTTTCCTACATGGCAAAAGTTTACCCATGCACTTAACTTCTCTTGTGTCCTGTGGCTTGTGCGCAGGCTGCCAATGGAGGTGTCCTGGCAAATAAGGTGAGGCGCAAGCTCAAGACTTGTACTCCTCCCAACTGCAGGTCCACCTGACACTCAAAGCTGGAATGCCAGAGCCTTAGCAACACTTCTTCCCTTGGCCTAAGTCATTCTCACATTGCTTACTTGGGAATCTTGCTATGCACCACTGGTCCTTTTGACCTGCATCTTGGTGCTTTTCTTTGGTTTAATAAATTGGAGTATCAATCTCAAGCCATGACAAACTTCTGTCTAAGCTAAAAATTTGTATTTGAGATCTAGATTCTAAATTTCAGAAAACAGTTTTTAGTTCAAGCACAGAATATCTATTTCCAAAATAGAGCCAGGAGAGTCTGGATTTCCTCATATGACTCTTGTTTGTAGGTTTTGGTGGATTTTTTGGTTTTGTGTTTTCTTGGTTGGTTTGTTTTTTGTTGGTTTGTTTTGGGGGGTTTTTTAATGAATACTTGGAAATTAAAAAGGGGGAAGCAGGAAACTGGAAGACAGTGTTTTCTGTTAGAAAGCTTTACTGTGTATGAGGATATGGTAAGTTCCTGATCCCCTTTGTATCATTTGACAGACTTACTATATTGTACTAATAACCACCTTAAATGTATGGTCTGCAGGAGAGCATAACTGCCTGTGCTGTAGTGCTGTGGGATGGATACACCTGTCTCGCAGAAAGTGACACAAGGGGCAGAAAATGTTTGAAATACAGGGTAGTTGAAATTAGTTCAGCTGTGTTTGGTTTTGGGTCAGCTGTCAGCACACACCTGCCCCCATGTGAAATTTTGGATGTGCAGTTTATGTAAAGAAAAGTGGCCCTGTTCTCTTGTTGTCATTTTAATAAAAATACGGGAAAGCATGTATTTTTAATATATAAATACCAGTTATTTGTTGCTTTGGGGCTTGGAAAAGATGTGTTTGAGTTATCTAAAGGCATAAGGTTTTTGTCTTATGAACTGGAAGAGGCTGGCTTTGTTACAATTTGAACTCAGTAAGTCTCCAAGTTAATTTTGTCCTTAGTGTTTTTAAAGTTTAGGAGAGTTCTTTTGATAAAGGTAAATATTGCTGATGCAGTCATTAAATAGATGATGTCTGGAACATGTTCACCCAGGAACTGGTTTTATTGACTTGATTTTGGGTGTATATGGTTAAAGGTGCCTACCTGCATATTTTCTTGTGCAGTGTGCAATTTTTACCCATCTACAGAGGCACAGAAATCCTCACGGTGCCAAGATTTGTATGCATACTTTTTTCTTTCCTGATCCTTCCCCAGCTCTGTGGAGCAGAAAAATCAACCATGTTATTAATTCATTTGATAGCCTCTGCTCTTATCAGTTCAGCTTTCTTAATTTGCTTGTGGTGTGTGTTTACTTTGAGCTGTTGGTTGTTTACAGAAATTTTAAGAACTTTTTTTTCCTCTCCCCCTATCCCTTCCTCTTTCTTTTTTTGCATTGCAAATGTTTTCAAACCTCTGCAGTCACTGCTGCATCACGATATTATATTCAAACATTATTTCACATCTTGCCTTGCAGTGATGAAAATGACCTTATGAAGTGCAAGGCAATAGTGGGGGAGGGAACAGGCTTGCTGCTCTCATTACTGAGTGTCCTGGTTCACTCTAGGTTTACTTCTGGATTTCTGGCTCCCTAGGGTCCTAACCTAAAGTCAGAATAATCTTATCAGACAGTAGCTTCAATTCATCTATAATAGTGTTCAGGCTGAGAGAGGTAGTGGTTGATAATTGCATACTACTGAGGGGTTAGAACAGCATTAAAATTTAAGGAGTTAAGACTGATATCTAGGCACCTGTGCAAAACATTCTGCTCATAAATAGTATTTCTAAGCCAGTCCTAGATAAAATGCTTGATGTTGCTCTAGTATTGAGATGAATAAAAGGCAGGTAGATCTATGTGTGAGTTAAACAAAACAGTCGACAAACAGGTATATTCATTTGTAGCAGAGACAAGTGGCTGAAGCTTTCTGTCCTGTTCAGATTGCAAGCGTGTAAACTGTACAGTTATTCTTTGGTATGCTACTGTTCCTGCTTGCTGCCTCCCCTACAGATAAACTCTGAGAAGCTCAGGTGGAAGTGACTTGAAGCTTGTCAAGCTCCCAGTGTATACAGTGGCTTTCTTCCACAGGCGTAGAACTCACAGCAGCATTCATACATACATGCACCTTCCAGAACTGTTGTCTTAAAGACTTCCAGGTTTTCTGGAGAACAGTTGATTGAATCCCAGCATCTAAAGTGGCTCATGGGCCTGATCTGTCAGCCTGGTTTCAGCTTGGATTTTTTGATGTTTTGCTTACGTAAAAACATATTTCTCAATAATACTCTCATGCACTTGGCACTTCATTGACTATTCCTTACTAGAGACATGACAAGATAAAACGATGTACAGGAGCATTGTATAGACCCATAGATGCTCTTGCTTAAGACTCAGTACAGGGAGGACAGACCTCATGCTTGAAGAGTAAAATATCTTAGTAGCAAGGTCTGCACATTAAGGTAACAATGTATGTGCTTTGTGCATATCATAAGCTGCTGTGGCTTATCAAATTACCTTGCATTAGCAGAGACATAGTAGCTGTCCTCAGGAGTTTCAGGTGAACATAAAGTTGTGTAGTTCAGCTGAGCCTCACTGGGGCAAAGGTAACTTGTATTACCTTGTATTTGCTAAGACATACACAAATAGCTGTCAGAGCTTATCTGATGCATGGTGGCTTGATCGTGTGTCTGGGCTTTTGTATTTTTTTTAAGTGGTAGCAGATTCCTTGGGCCTGTCAAGGTCCAGCTGAGTGAGGCTCAGGGTAAGGAGGTTTGACTTACCTGGTATCTGACTCCATACGTGTTAGGTGATGCACAGTAGGCTAAGTGGATGTCAACATGAATATCTGAAGCTTCCTGTCTCTTACTGAAAGAGAGGAAGTGGGGAGTGCACTCTGAAAGGAGAGATCTGTAATGTTGAGGTCTTGTTAGCTGAGGTCAAGTTTACAGTTCACTTGGTCTGCGTATTACTGGTACTGGGTTCAGCTCTGAGAGGAAATACAGTGAACATAAGCTGAAAAGCCAGGCTGAATTTCTGGCTTCCCACAGAATGTTTCAGCGCAGCAGAATCTGTATTCTGGCATGTAATGACTGCATATTGGCTGGTTAAATTGGCCTCTTCAAATGCGTGCTTGTTTTCTGTCCCCCCCTTGTAATTGCAATTGCATGAGCAGAACATGGCATGGAAAGGAAGTCTATCTCTTGTGCAAGCACAAAAATATGGCAATCGTGCTTTGCTTTTGGAATCCTACACTGAAGTGTGATAAGGTCAAAGAGAACTTTTTTGGCGGCAGATGTGTAACAGGGATTTCCAGCAGACTAGAAGCAGCACTAGAGTAGACGTCTGCTCCCAATCAGAATTGGATTGCATTGGGGAACTGTTGAGGTGTTCAGTTGCTGCGTTTGCATTCATCCATACTGACTGCTGCTACTAAGCAGTAATGTTTTAAGTGCTGTAACCTTAGCTTATAGGAGCTATAGCTTGATATTCCGGCTAGCTTTGCATTGGTGGCTAGCACTGACCTTTGCCAGCCCTGAACATTCATTTCTATCAGTTGAAAGGTTAGGTGTCCTGACATCCATCTGGCTCCCACAGGGTTTGCTTTCAGGCTTTTTGTTTCAGTAATGTGGGCGGGTGGGTTTTTTTTTTTTTGTTTTGGTAATTGTACCTTAGGATGGACTTGCTTCTAAAGCATAAACAGATTGAGGTGGGGTTGGCATAGGAAACTGCTTGCCCTCCAGGATCATAATTCTGTCCCTTATCCCCTGCAAAAGTGTCTGAGATGACCACAAAGCTGAGTCACGCCAGCAACCAACAAGAAGCAGAAATAGCAAAGATCAGAGCTGTGGCCACAGAATGCCACTGGGGTGCTTGGTGGTGGTTTTGAATTGGGGATGGCGATCTTGGTGCGCTTTTCAGGACTGCAGAATGGAGCAGGGAACCTCTTGCATTCCTCTTATGATTAGGTCTAGAGAGAAGAACTGTATGGGAGTCTTACCTGGTCTCTTAGACAGTGGACACTACCACCATTACAGATTACACTACCACCAAAGCAGAATTCTGAAACTAACCACAAGTAAGAAAGCCAGTATGGTTTCACTGTCCTGCTTGCTATTCATGTGTCCTTTGTACAATAGGCATGCATATTAATGAAGATTATGTTAACTTTTTATCTTCCGCAGTGTTTCTTGTAGTAGGATTAGTAGAATACTAAAGGCAAAACTAAAAGGATGGGACCTAGTGATGTCAATTTATCATTTTATGTTTGCACAGGGAACTGGGGGAGTGGTGTTGAAAATCAATTCTGGACTTTGTTTCTGAAGACAACCTACTTACCAAATCATGTGCTGCTGTCATTACTGGGTTTCTGAGAGTGAGAAACAAATGCTGATGCAAGCTTGGGAAGGATTTGAGCTGTAATAAAGCTTGGAATATTATAAAGTTTCTTCATAATACTGTTCTGTTCTTAACCTGACCTCTCTGCCTTTCCTTAGCAGTGAAGGAGACTGTATCTGAGAATGATCTCTATGGGAGGCTTTTTATAAACAGAGTTTTCCATATCACTGCAGACAAGATGTTTGAAATACTTTTCACCAATTCTCACTTCATGCAGAGGTTTCTCAATTCCAGGAGTATAGTAGGTAATATACTCTTCTCCCTTCTGTCTGTGTTGCAATCTATCCTGAAAATTTCAAACTCTGAGAAATATTAAATAGGGCTATGTTGAATTCTGAGGTTCTCATTGCTTTAAAAGAATTTTGAAGCTTTAAAGCTTTACTATGAGAGGATATTTAAAGCTAGCCTGTTCTTTCCATAGATCTGTAGATCAGTCACGCCTCGGTGTAAAAATCTCCTTTCAGTGCACCACAAAACTGCACCTTAATGCCTGAATTTGGGGTAGGCTGTTAAATTGATGCATTCTGTGGGGTATTTCTGATTACATTGTGTTCCAGAAATAGTGAAACATGCACTGTTGGCACACAGGCAAAATAAACTGCATCCTCCTAAATGATACTCACAGGCTTTAATTTTCTGGATGAGTAAACTTTATTCATTGATATCATATGAACAGAAAATAAAAAGGGTAATATTTATTCAGTGTCAGCTTGGAAGGCAAAGTGGCAAAAGCTTGTGGTAATGCTAAGTGAATCTATTCAATTTTAAGCAGAAATTACGTATTTCCATTTAATTGCTTACTCTTCTCCCCACCCTCAAGCCTCTTTCAGTAGACCCAGATTCAGCTACTTAGTGCTTCACCTTTGTTCATCAGTGAACTACAGTTTTCACTTTTCCTGCAAAAACCACAACCATTTAGAATCAGTTTTCTGTCTCTCTCCCTGTTGTTCTTAAACTGTTGAGATATGAAAGGGCAGAGATAATGCTTTTTAGGTAATCTGCATGTGAGGTTTTGCATAACTTCTTATCTAGATGCCGTATCAACCCCTTGGAATAGAGATTCCAGTGGCAATCAGTTGAGGACTTTGACGTACACTGTAACAATTAACAATCCACTTTGTGGGAAGTTCACAACTGCAACTGAAAAACAGGTACTGTGTGCATGTGTGTGTCTGTCTGGTGCCCTTTAATGCAAGGGAGAGGTCAGATGTACAGCCTGTTGGGGATCTGACCATGGATTAGAGTTCAGCGAGCTGCAGTGGAGCTGCGGTTTAAACATGGCATCTCTGAGGTAGATTGCTGCCTCTCACCATTAGTGAGTAAATGCTGATGAAATCAGAGTGTCTTTCTACCCTTACAAATGGCTGTAAGCTTCTGCCACAGACTTTGTGGGGAAAAGTATTAACATCTGTTAGGAATTTTGGGGTGAAAAGATTCAATGAGATGCTTTCGGTGTCTACTTATGGGATCTCCAGGAGAGATGGAGTCTAGCAAAGGGCCACTAGGATGATTAAGGAACTGGAGCATCTCATGAGAAATGAACGAGAGCAGGGACTATTAAGCCTGGAGAAGAGAAAGCACAGGGGTGATCTTACAATGTGTATATAAGTATCTGAAGAGAAGGTGGGGGTGACAGAGCACTGGAACAGGCTATCCATTGAGGTTGTGGTATCTCCTTCATTGGAGATACTGGAAAGCCTGGTCCTGGGCAACTGGCTCTATATGGCCCTTCTTGAACAGGGTCCTTGGACAAGGTGACCACCACAGATGCCTTCCAAATTCTGATTTGGGAAAGGTCTCACAGATCAGTCTCAAAGAGCAGCTGTGGTCATGAGTCAGTGGCCAGCATTGCATCTGGTACTTGGAATGGCAGTGGGGAAGTACTGCTGTTGCCTAGGGAGGCATCATCTCTTTCCTACCCCGTCTATACTTGCCGTTAGTAACTGTTTTTTGTTGTGGTTGTTCAGGTTTTCTCCCTGCTCTAGTTCACTTGAAGTTGTTGATCTAGCCTAAGGAATTCAGGCTGAAAGGTGGGGAGTGGGGGGAACTAAACAAGCACCAGGAATATACCTTCTTATTTTCTTTTATGGTAGATCCTGCATAAGCAAAGCCAGAAAGGTCAGTCTTACCAGGTGGATGCGGAGGTGCTGACCCATGATGTCCCCTACCATGATTATTTCTACACTGTGAATAGATACTGCATCAGCCGCACATCCAGTCACAAGTGTCGATTACGGTGAGGCTGGGTGGTGCACAGTGGGAGGGGAGAAGCCAAGGCATGTATGTTACGGGTTGAAGTGTGCTTCTCAAAAGGTCTGCCAACAGCATAGCGAAGGTCAGCTTCTCTTGAAGTTAGGGACCTCTCCTGAAAAATAAGCTTGGTTTATTTCTTGTCACACGTATGCTGTATTTGGATCTCATTAATGCAGTGAGAAACGCATTCTTACGTTGACTCTCATCTCCAAGACCGAACTGGGTTCTGATCAGCCTTGCATTTTTAAGTGCACCTGTGTGAGTGGGAAAAATTGAAACTATCTGTGATGTTTTATTACAAAGTTTCACAGATATCCTTGCTAAGGGCCTGCAGAGGAGGATGGTTTCATGGGAAGGTACAGAGAAGATGGAAATGTACCTCCTTTTGAAGGGAGGGTACTTGAGTGAATCAGACTTCATTCTTAAACTCTACCTAGATACGGGAGTCTTAAAAGGCACTTCCCTTTCCTCTCCCATTTGTTGAAAATGCACTTAATGTGGAACTTGATCCCTTTAGATGTTTGTATGGCTTTCTGACTGTATTATCCTTTCTTGTGCTGCCTCTATTAAGATGTTTTATCTCAAACTTCATCAGTACCTGGGGAAGGCAAGGAAGCCTGGATTTTGTTCTGGCTTCTCACAGGTTATAAAAGTGTTGAAGGCTCTATCTGTACTGGGAGAAGAAAGGAAGAAAGGTCCTGTTCTGAATGATTCTTATTTTTTTGCATGAGTCAGTCTTCCTCTGAGGGCTGTATTTGTTTTATCTGAGACACATGGCAACCCCAGGGTGAGACCAAAAACCTAGATTTCAATATGGTGCACAGAGCATGCATGTATAGAACAGAAGGTGCATGGTGGTGTTACAGCTGGCTTTATTATACTGTGCTTTAAAATGGCTCAAAAATGCTATTTGAAAGAAGCTGTTTTATTAGACTAGAAGCAGTAGGCTTACACTAATTTGGGTAATTATTTGAAAACATTGAAAAAAGCATTTTCTAGAATGATCGGTGGTCTTGACTTAGAGAATTCAAAATCACAGGCGACCCTTTTGTCCTTTGTGAAGGGCTTTGGGATTCATTCAGTTGTTAAAAGCAGCACTCTGAAGGAATCTACCCCATTTCTATTCTGGAAGCATTATTGATTAGCTTGACCTGGGGAATGCAAAGCAGGC